TTTTCTTAACTAGAGCTGAGCAGAACAAACAAGTAGGCTGGCCTCCGTCCCTGTCTTTCACTAATAGTTGTAAGCCTTCTGTTGTGATATAAATGCTGCTTATAATATCATTAACATCTGTTTAGGCTCACTTTGAAACTTCCTGGTGATTCTGCATTCTTCCTTCTCAGAAAGTTTCTCTTCTGGCTGATCACTCTAGCTGTTCCTTTCTAAGCCTTTAAGCTGGAGCAGCCTCAAGGAGCAAGCATTTGGAGGGCTTCCACCTGCCAAGTGGTCTGAGGAAAGCTTCCTAAGTGACACTTAGAGCCCTCCTCCGAAGCAACAGGGCCTCTCAGACGCCAGCAGGGCTAAAGCCCAAAAAGACAGATGCGATTGCAAGTTCAGCCTAAAGCTGACTCAATACTCTAGAAACAGTGGAGGGAAGAAGTTCTAGATGTGCTGGTCCTCCTTATGGTAGCCCAGGTCTTAGTTTCACACTTTGAATGGGCCAGATTGGCTTTCTATCACCTGTCTCAGAGAAGAAAACTAGGCCTTGGCATAGCAAGGGGCTGACTCATAGAGCTCTCTTAGATACACACTGCATATTAACATCCATTCATCCTTTTACTCATTGCAAGCATTTACTCAATTCTCCCAGGTGCCTGGGTGCTTGGGGGCCAAGCTTAGTTCTAGGCTGTGGGGATATGAACACAAAAACCTCCACGGTCAAGGTGACCCTCTTCTAATGAAGGAGACAAGGAAAGAGCTCCTTAAAACATAGACTGAAAAATACATGCTAGAACACATGTTCTTGATGATGGCAAAAATTGGTTCTTAGGGAGCAAAGAATCTGAAATTTAATTTTTCCCCTGCTGGGGCAAGAAATTTTAAAGTTGAGAAATACTAGAAGTTTGCACAGGAGCTGTCAAGTGCCATAGGAAAAACCCTAAACCCAAATGAGGAAGGCCAGGAAGGCTCCTTGAAAGATAAGACACCTGGGTCAAGTTTTGAAATAGGAGAAGAAATTCCCAGAAGAAGAAATGGAAGAAGGATATCTGTACACAGGGAGTAAAGTGTGAAAAGGCAGACAATAACAGAAGAGGGAACTGTAGTGACTCTATGAAGAGAGAGTTCGGAAGTAGGATTGGAATGAGGAGAATGTGTGACCCTCTGGAGAAGCAGAGGTTCTAGGGCAGCTCTTGAAAAGGGGTCATATTTTATTCTTAAGGAGTGTGGAAACCAATTGAAAAGCTTCAAGACAGTAACATATTCAGGCTTATGGTTGTTTTTAAACTATTCTGGGAAAGAAAGAGAAGGAATTGTGTGTTGGCAACACTGATGAAGATAGATGAGAGGACAAAGGCTGGGTCCCGAGCAGGAAAGCCATTTAGGAGGAAAACCCTACTATGAAAATCTGAGCTGAGCCAAGATGGAGCCACCCTGAGAGCAAATGGCAGTGCGGGGCATGGGAACCTTGTCTTGTAGCCAGATAGGCCATATGGTCTGGGTAGGACCAAGCCTGAGCAGCCAGCACTACCACCATCAGTGGAAAGAAGGAAGCCAGATTAATTAAATATCTGTTCACTCCAAGCACCCACACAGGGCTTTCTAAGACAATATCATTTTATCTTAAAAAAAAACTCATGAAATTGTAACTATCTACAAAAATAGGGAAAAGCATCACCCAGTGTCAACAATTGTTAACTGACAACAAATCCATACTCCCAAGTTAGTTTCTACAGCCTACTGAGTTATTTAAAGACATTTCAGGCATATTGTCATTTCTTCTTGTAAATACTTCTCATGAATCCCCAGAATCTCTTTTAAAACATATGACTAAATAATATCATCACATTTTAAAATATTAGCAATAATCCTTTTTTTTTGGAGGGGGGCAATACTGGGGTTTAGAACTCAGGGCCTTGAGTTTGCAAGGCACGTGTGCACTACCATTTGAGCCATGTCCCCAGCCCTTTTTGCTTTAGTTATTTTTCAGATAGGGTCTTACTTTTTGCCTGGGTCAACCTTGAACCACAGTTCTCCTACCCCTACCTCCCAAGTAGCTTGGATTTCAGGAATGAGCCACCATGACAGTGTAGCAATAATTCTTAATAACGTCAGATATTTACACAATGTTCACATTTTCCAGAAATGTGATTCTAATTTTCATATGTGTGTATATGTACATATTGTATATATATATAATGTTTATGTATGTGTATATGTATATGTACATATATACATATATACCTCGAGAAGAGAGGGAAAGAAGAGAGAGAGAGGAGGTATAGAATGTCCAAAAATAACAGAGTGCTCCCTCTGGATTGCCTGAAGGATGAACTAACTAAATCTCCCATAGAGTGGGACTGCACCCAAACTCACCTTTCATGTGCTGATGTTTGTTTCCATCTGAACTAAAGTTTCAATTGAAACTTAAGCAAGTTCCTGCATCTCCAGGTGCTGGGCAACTGTCCTTTTCCTCATCTCCTTCAACAAGCTGATGTGCAAATTAGAATATCTGGTGCCCATTGACAAGTGTGTGCCCATACTTGGCTTATGTGGAGTGCATTGGAAGTTCATGATCTTTCCAGTGGGATACCCACCCACATGGAGTGGCTAGGAGAGTACCCAGAAGTAACTAATATTAACTGTGCCTGGGGGCCCTAAGGGCAAGGACACATTCAGAGTTTTATCCACAATATAGTGGTTGATGCCAGCTGCAAAGGACACATTAATGTTCCCAATAATACCGTACTCATTTAGATTGAAAGTCATCTCTGAGGGCAGAGCAAATACTATACTACAGGCAAATGCAGGCTTTTGACCATTATTGGATCACTGTATCCCAGTGCTTCTCTCTGGAACCCTTAGTAGATCACAACCAGCCTGTTGGCCACAACGTAAGCAGTAGCCTGGAAGAAAAGTGTGAACCATCTAATGATGCTTTGTTGGTCGGATGTGTATGGAGGAGTGTCAGCTGCTAATATAAACGTAGTCTGACATTGAAGATTTTTATTCCCTAAGATGTTGATTCAAGCACTGTGGTGTGTGGTAGGTGATCATGAATTCTCAGTGTGTGGAACTTAGGAGGACAGAGCACTTGGGAAGAGGGGATGGCTGCATTCCAGAACACACAATCTATATCCAGTAGTAAGGTAAATGCTGACAAAAGAAGACACATTGCTCCCCACATTACCCTATAAACCTTTCATTTTATATTCACCCTAACTCTTCACTGTGTACACAGATAATTGAATTGTTAACTCAAGCTTTTCTTTTCCTCCTTATTTTAGCATTTCATATCCTAAATGAACAGCTGCTCAATGAAAAAATGTGACTGTGTTAATGCTTCACCATGATATAGTCTGACTATAAAAGCTAACTGTTTTGTGAAAGCAGCTCCTGGACCATTTCATTGTATCCTTAGGTACAGACATGAAACGGCTCCTTAACCATTTACAGCTCCCAGGCCCAAGAAATAAAATAAGAAATACCCAGGAACTTTAAGTATGTCCTAAGCAAATAAGACACTTTGTATTCTGAGACTTCATAATGTAAATCCTGCCACAGTCATCACAGTCACCATATTGGAGGTGACCCATGACACCTTTCTTTCTGGCCAAGACTTGAGGTAGACCACATTCAGAAATGTCTTCATTCATGCTAATATTAAATGGCCAAAATTAGTACACAACACTATGGCAGCCTGTATAGACTGATGAAATATAGACAACAGCGTTCTTACTATGAGTAGCAGAGAAGAGATAATCATTCAAGCCCCTGTTTTTTTTTTGTTTTTTTTTCTTTTATTATTCATATGTGCATACAAGGCTTGGGTCATTTCTCCCCCCTGCCCCCACCCCCTCCCTTACCACCCACTCTGCCCCCTCCCTCTCCCCCCCACCCTCAATACCCAGCAGAAACTATTTTGCCCTTATTTCTAATTTTGTTGTAGAGAGAGTATAAGCCATAATAGGAAGGAACAAGGGTTTTTGCTGGTTGAGATAAGGATAGCTATACAGGGAGTTGATTCACATTGATTTCCTGTGCATGTGTGTTACCTTCTAGGTTAATTCTTCTTGATCTAACCTTTTCTCTAGTTCCTGGTCCCCTTTTCCTATTGGCCTCAGTTGCTTTTAAGGTATCTGTTTTAGTTTCTCTGCGTTAAGGGCAACAAATGCTAGCTAATTTTTTAGGTGTCTTACCTATCCTCACCCCTCTCTTGTGTGCTCTCGCTTTTATCATGTGCTCAAAGTCCAATCCCATTGTTGTGTTTTCCCTTGATCTAATGTCCACATATGAGGGAGAACATACGATTTTTGGTCTTTTGGGCCAGGCTAACCTCACTCAGAATGATGTTTTCCAATTCTATCCATTTACCAGCGAATGATAACATTTCATTTTTCTTCATGGCTGCATAAAATTCCATTGTGTATAGATACCACATTTTCTTAATCCATTCATCAGTGGTGGTCAAGCCCCCGTTTTAATATGCATAAATTGATCAACAGACCTAAGACACCATCAGTGGAAGATATGTAAGGGATTCTAAGTCCAACTCTGAGCAAATTAACTTTCCTATTTTGAAAATTAGTTTGCACGTAAAATCTGAAAATGGAAATTCCATACCCCAATCTCTTCTTCGTTATTGAGCAACTCTCTTCTCCACATTTACTCCACAGGTCTTTATCACATACTTAGCAAAATGCTGGGCAAGCACTGTGCCAGGCAGAGAGACACAGTCTAAGGGTTTTGCAATGCCAGTTAGGTGGATCACCCACAGGCTTAAAACATAAGTTGTTAGGCAGTGTTCCCCTGTCTTGGCACCAATGATGACAGCTATGTCCCTGTATTAGAATGTGAGAGCCTATTAAGGAAATGCTATTTCCCAAAATAATTATTTCTGAGACATAATGTTCCAATGGTAATGTTTTGAATTTCCTACTTTATGTGTGAGGCTGTGTCTTATTATTTTGCTTTGTCTAAAGAAACGAATTATGAATCCTTGGCATTTATTGCAGATGAGCAAGAAAGTTCAGGAGCAATTATTTATACCGTGGAGCTGAAGCGCTACGGGGGACCCCTTGGCATCACAATTTCAGGAACTGAAGAGCCATTTGATCCTATAATCATTTCAAGTCTCACTAAAGGGGGATTAGCTGAAAGGTAAAATTTGAAGGAACTGCTACAATTACCTACGTCTGAGAGGGGCTTCCCTTCTCATAACCACATAAAAATGTGCTCCCCTCCTGTATATCTGTCGACTTTTAAATCTCCACAAAGGATTGATTTTAAGAGCTTGAGAATTCTCAGGCTGAGACTTGACTTTGAGGGTGTCTTGTAGGCAGTAAAAAATGTCATAAGCTTATATAAACTGACCATCATCAACTGGAGGTAGGTTTATATTGTGTATATTTTGAGAAAAGAAGACTGAAGTTCAGGGAGGTTAAAAGATGTGTCCAATTCAATTCTGTAAACATTTGCTGAGCCTCTTTTACCTGACCAGTAGGGTGCTTAGCTGCCATGTTTTTGGGGAGAGGACATTACAGGCTTTGTTTTCAAAGATTATAGGAAACAAAGTATAGCAACCTCTCTCAACAGGATCTTCTAATGTGCAATGTCCTTTTGTAGGCGATGGTTCCTACTCTCCACCCCTAGTAAACTGCAGTTCTTTCTGAGACTTATTGGGCATATAACAAAGTCTATAACCAGATTTGTTCCCCCACTGACCTAGCTCAAAAGTGCTCAAACACATAATTTCTGCTGACATTTGAAGACATTGGTTTGCAGACAGATGCAGTGTTGTGGAATGTTGGAGCAGCAAAGTATCTTAGAAACAGCTCAACCAACATCTTCATCTGTCAGATGAAGGCAGCTCAGAAAGTTTAATATTCTGATATTAGCAGAGAAGCCTAGAATAGGATACTCTTCAGACATCCTCCTTTCCTGTGGATCTCTGTTAGAGAGACAACAAAGATTAATACTGATCTGTTCAGTGAAGTGTTTCCTTACACCTAGATTTTGACAACCTAGATCTTTCATAACCTAAGAGTCCTTAAGAGAGAACAAAGAGTTTTGTTGTTTTATTTTTTCTTTCAGGGAAAAAGATTCCTTAAGCATAATGTAATGATAGAATAGTCAATCTAGTACAGGTGCCACGTCCCCTGAAGCAAGCTGTAATCAGTGAACTCGGTCACCAGCAGCCCTGTGAGTTGGGTTAATTCCTTTGCTCACTATATTTAAAGTGAGCCAACCCAACCAGCAGCTGATACATGGGATTCAGACTCTCCAGACTTTGTCCAGAGCAGAGATCTGAGTTTTTGTATCATGCCTGAGCTTCTGTGCTATGGTCTATGCCTTTCTCCAACCAGTGCTTCCCAATGAAGATGGATGTGGTGAATGTCAGAATTATACATTCCAATCTAGTAGTTCAGATTGGATGAGGATGAGATGAGAACAGAAAAGATCTAAGTTTTCTTGATCAATAATGTATTTTCCTTACCCACATTTTAAGCAGTGTGCTGAGCCCTGGCTTGTTTTCCTATTTAATCCTCATGCTTTGCCTGTGAGATGATGATCCACCTTGGAGTGAGAGGTTCAGTAAGGTACCCAGGCCACACAGCTGGTAGGGGAGAAGTGAATTCAAAGCGAGCACTGTTTGGTTATTGTCCAGCCTTTCTCAATATTGAGAATCATCAACAGTAGAGGCCCTGGCACACCAGAGTCTGGGGTATGTCCCCTTCTTCCTGAGCATCACTTCTGGGAGCTAAGCACTGATTGTGTTAACTATTTTAAACATGTAAAAAGAAAGAATAGCCCATGCTACATTGTGCTACGGTTACTGTTTGACAGAGTTCATGCTCTTGGAACTTTTAAGTGCGGGGGATTGCCAAGTGACTCAGCTTCCTTGCAGTTTGAAAAAATATCCAAGTTCATTTTCAAAACTAATTAAACCAATTTCTCTAACTTTATTTTTAGCTAAAAAGTAATTCACAACAGATGTAGTTATCTTATACCATTTCTCAGGAGAAAGCAGTAGGAAGTGACTTCTGGAGACCCTTGCCAAGTCCTTATTGTTATGAAAGTGTGGAATCTGTCAGTGAATTTATCCTCAGTAGCATGCAGGAATTGTTTCCATCTTCTTATTCCTGTTTGGTGTTTCAGAACTGGCGCCATCCACATAGGAGACCGAATCCTAGCCATCAACAGCAGCAGCTTGAAAGGGAAGCCTCTGAGTGAAGCCATCCATTTGTTACAGATGGCAGGAGAGACTGTCACCTTGAAAATTAAGAAACAGACAGATGGTGAGTGGGTCGAGAGCCTTAATTAAGGATTGCTAGTGCATTTCCTTCCCTAAAAGAATGTGCTGGTATCTATATGTGTGTTTCTGGGGAAATGACACTCCAGACACAGAGTATTTGAGTATTGTTATTTGAATTTACTCTGATTTTCAACCTCCTTTCCTGTCTGTGAAGCACAATCAGCATCAAGTCCTAAGAAGTTCCCGATCCCCAGCCACCTGAGTGACCTGGGAGATGTGGAGGAGGACTCCTCACCAACACAGAAGCCAGGCAAGCTAGCCGACATGTACCCCTCCACAGTGCCCAGCGTGGACAGTGCTGTGGACTCATGGGATGGGTCTGCAGTAGATGCCAGCTATGGAAATCAAGGTAAGTAAGATTTGCCCTCTGCTCCATAAGGAGAGTGTCTTTATTTAACCTGTGTCTGTTTCAGTGCCACCACATTGAACACATTGAGTACTTTCACTTGGCTGGCTTTGCATTTCCTCCTTCTTAGTGCTGGTAAGTCATGAACATTTATCAAACTCTAACAGCCCATTAGATCTTCTGATGTCCAAGTGCTCAATGCAGATCTTGTCCTTAAAGTTTAGATTGATATGAGGCAGACCATACAATAAAGTGGTTCACTTGAATAAGGCCCTATTGTCTTATTTTTTAGCAAGCTTTCTGTAAAAAAACGGATTGCAGAGTTCTGAAGTTGTGCATAAGACATTGGCCAGTGATTTGTGGTCCTATTTATTCTTGCCCACCCCTGGCCTTTAAATAGAAACTTGCAAAGGATTCCCTGAATACTCATTATTAGAGAGTTGTATTCATAAGACATGAAAGCATAGATGTCATCTTGACTGTCAGCCAAAGAATAAAAGAAATAAGCAAATAGCTTAGAGAATGCGTTTGGGTGTGAGGGTTGCTTTGAAGCTTAGTTAACTGTGCCTTCAGGAGAGCATGTATCCAGTTTCCTCTTGTCCTGGTTTTCTTAGTTTTCTTCTTCTAGCCTGCCTTTATTGTGTCACTCTCTGTTATGTCCTGTGATAGGTAGAAAAAAAATAGAAAGAGATAATATTTTACCTATTAGAGATGATATTGGAGCTTGGGAGAGAAAATATTCTGTGTACTTAAATAGAATTGAGATTTTCATTTATCTGGCAATCAATTTTTCCAAGTCAGAATACCTTGTGAAAATTAGCTAGCCCACCCCCTTGCCCAATTACAGACATTTTTATTGCCTGAAAACTTTTTTTTTATTGTTTTATTATACATATGTGCATACAAGGCTTGGGTCATTTCTCCCCCTTGCCCCCACCCCCTCCCTTACCACCCACTCTGCCCCCTCCCTCTCCCACCCCCTCAATACCCAGCAGAAAATATTTTGCCCTTATCTCTAATTTTGTTGTAGAGAGAGTATAAGCCATAATAGGAAGGAACAAGTGTTTTTGCTGGTTGAGATAAGGATAGCTATACAGGGAGTTGACTCACATTAATTTCCTGTGCGTGTGTGTTGCCTTCTAGGTTAATTCTTTTTGATCTAACCTTTTCTCTAGTTCCTGGTCCCCTATTCCTATTGGCCTCAGTTGCTTTTAAGGTATCTGCTTTAGTTTCTCTGCGTTAAGGGCAACAAATGCTAGCTAATTTTTTAGGTGTCTTACCTATCCTCACCCCTCCCTTGTGTGCTCTCGCTTTTATCATGTGCTCAAAGTCCAATCCCCTTGTTCTGTTTGCCCTTGATCTAATGTCCACATATGAGGGAGAACATACGATTTTTGGTCTTTTGTTGCCTGAAAACTTGATGGGCCACCACAGAACACTGGGTAAAGTATGTAAGTCAAATTCTGTCATACTAAACTCTGGTTTATTGATGTGTTATTTATTTATTTAGAGACAAAAATAAATTCTACAAAATCTTATTAGGATGACATTGGATAATAATGGGTTCCATCCTGTAGGGTGGTACATAACAATTTATTTATGCCAGTCCTCTATTTCACAGATACAGGACCATGATTAACATACTCAATATAGGTCTTGTCCCTCATTAGTGAAAGCTGAGGAATCATATATTACTTATGAAGCATTTCTAAAAAGTTGGTGTATTTTTTGACCCAAGGTCTCACCAGTTAGCCCAGGCTGGCCTCGAACTTTCAATCCAACTCAACTGCCTCCGTCTCCTGAATGCTGGGATTAACAGATGCTTACCATGGTGTCCAACTTGCATTTAAAACATTTGAATAGTGATCATAATAATATTAAATTTGACATTTAGAAATTTAGAAATCTCTAAAGCTGAAGTAGCTAAAGGATAAGTAGAGATTGTGACAATCAGAACAGAATTGAAGTTCTCCAAGGTAACGTAATAATGCCTTACATTTGTAGAGCATGTTAGAGTTTATTAAGTATTTTCATATAACTAATCTCATGTGAGTCTCATAACGAACCTGGAAGTTGAAGACCAGTGTTTATCACAGGTTCCAGTGTAACAGGAGGAGCTAGACATCAGTTAGTCTGACTTCCAGTGCATCCATTGGTGCTGTGCCCAGCTTTGCTGTGTGGCTTGAGTAGCCGAGGTGACAGGTTCTCCCTAACTGCCCAGGCAGCCTCCACTCTTCACTACGTCTGGCAGCTCCTAAACTCTTGATTGCATTGATCTTAAATTTGCCTGTCTGTGGCTTCTGCCTATTAGTCCTAGTTCTACCCTCAAGGAGATTCAGAATCAGACTAAAGCCTCTTCCACTTGACAGTCCTTCAGATACTGGAAGACAGCTATCACTTCTCTTTTGAGTCTTTCCTTCTCCAAGAAAAATAGCCTCAGTTCCTTTCACTGTTATTCACCTAACCTACTTTTGAGTATCTTATTGTCTTCTGAATATGTTTAACTCTATGCCTACTAAAGTGTAGCACTCAGTAAGCACAGTCATCCAACAGTGTGACAACCCAGTGCAGAGAAGCCAGTCACCTTCTTTCTCAAAGATGCAGAACCTATCAACTCAGACTACCTCAACATAGGATTTTTATAGTCACATCATTCATTTTGAGCTTACTGTTTACCAAGATCTGAGTCCAGTTTTTTTTTTCACTTTATCTGTGGTATTAGGTTAAAAAGGTCTGTCCAGATTGTACTTGTAGTTGACTTTTTACAAGCAAGGCACACAATGTACTTTTTCTTCTATTAGATATCCTGTTATGACATGTAGCTTATCTCTCCAACCTGCCCTCCAGTCTCTCAGCAGGCTCGCTCTTCTGCCCCAGGATGGCCTTACACGTGCTCACAGTCCCCTTTAAGTCTACTACAGTTGCCCCATTCCCAACAGGATGTTGCATCTCTGCAACGCACACCTTCCTCCTTGGGCTGAAAATGTATGTCTTTGTAGTCACATTCCTTACTATTCTCTGCTGCCTCTCCAAAATGTCAACCTGTCCTACTTACTCACTGAACAGATGTGTTGTGATAGGCACAATAGCCATTCAAGGTACAGTATACATACACACACTGTTGGACAACAGAGACAGTCTGTTTTTAAGAGGTTACCCTGCTGAAGGGGCAGACAGTTAACAAGTAAACAAGTACAAAGAGTGATAAATGTTACTTAATTAAAAAGAAAATTAGGGAATTGGCGGGGTACCTGCCTACTAAGTGAGAGGCCCTGAGTTCAAACCTTAGTACTGCCATAAATAAATACATAAATAAGTAAAAGAAATAAAGTGATTGATCAAAGCTGGTGGGGAAAGAAGGAATGTTTTTAAGTAGGTCCCACAATGGAATGATCCTCAATTTTATTGTTTAGCTCTAGGATGCCAGACCTTATGCTTTGGGTCTCTTTGTGCCTTGTTTATTCCTTTTAAGTCTGAGAAAACACTGATTAGTCTAATTTGATTTAGCAAAGGTCAGTACAGAAGATGACAAACTGGTGGTCCCTGGACTGTGCCATTCTCACAGATAGTGTAGCTCTTATGGTCTCTGCAGGTTTTATTTCTCAGGTAGATGTTTTTCTGTCTGATTATGCCATCTTTTGAGGTCATTTTGATCATTTGTATTCTCCCAGGAAAAAATCTGATTTATCCAGGTTTTCATATGTATTTGCATATAATTAAGGAACCTCTGATTTAATTTTTATTTTTTCAGGTTCTAAATCACATCCCAATACTGCTAATTAATTGGTTTTCTTGTGTTTCTACTTTTTTCATGATTAGATTGCTGATAGTTTGCTTTTCTTCATTCCCTCCACCCCAAATTACTAGTTACCTCTATTTGTTAGTTCCACTCTGGGTCTTTTTACATAAAATTTTGCTTTTAGTTTAACTCAGTTTCTCTTAGATTTTGTTCCCTTCCTGACTTGAATTGGGTTCATAATTAATTTAATTCCATGTTTCTTTGTGGTTTTCATCAAGATGACAAAAGGTGATAAAAGATGCCAATGTATACAGTCACAGCCCAACTTTCTTCAAATGTATTTAAAGAATACAACCTACTATATACAGAGCACAAATCAGCAGTAGTCCCCTTGATAGGATTTTACTTTTTGTTTCCACATATCCTCTGATGCCTAATATGCTCATGTTTCATCTCCATCATCTTGCCTTGTCCCATTTCTCTGAATTCTTATATTTCTGCTTTGATCTCTTGCTATGTGTTTTTTGTTATGATCTGTTTAGTCGTATAATTTGCTCCATGGCAGGATTTTTTCTCATGACTATCCTTCATCAGCTACTGCTTTATTTTTGTATTTTTTCTCCTGTTTTTCTGTATTATTTAATATTAGCATACATCTTCTGCCAGTCCTTTTTAAATTATTGCTCATCACTGTATTCAATGAGTTCTTTCTGAGCTGTACGTTTGCCAGAGCTTCTGAGAATGACAAGGCCAGGTTACATTCCAGGCTAGCAAAACTCAACCATTGCATCATGCTGTGTTGTGCATGGAACAAGCTCTTCTCCACCTGACAGCACACAGCAGCTGCACTGCTCGCATTGTAGAATGCCTCACTGATAGACAGCTTCCTGCAGTTGCCGGTATGTCTCTATGTTTTGTCTCTCAGTCCACTGCTCTGACCATACCCTGGTGCCAAGTGGGCTCCTGGATACTTCCTGCCACCAGCCCATGCAGTGCATTCTAGTGTTCCAAACTGAGTATTGTGTTTTTGCCTCCTACCATGGCCTCTGCAATCTCTCACCATTTCTCGGTTCTTGCCACCCCCTGGTTGCAAGAACCTACCCTACCCCAGTTTCTGCTCCCCATGAAACTCTCACTGAATTTGGCAATTTTTCTTATATATTATGGTTTGGAATGATAGAAATATTTCTAATTGTGTTGAAGATGGCATTGCTTTATTTTTCATCACTTTATATTTTGAGGTGATCCTAGAGGTAGAACTGTC